CTTTGGATCCACCCTCTTGCTCAGAAGTCGAACGTGAGATCGGATTGTTGAAGTTGAACAAAGCCGCGGGACCAGATGGTCTTCCTCCAGCCCTCTTCAAATTCGGAGGCTCTGCTCTTGTTGATGCTTTACATGAATTAGTAGTGAAACTGGGAGAAGGATACTGTCCCAACCGACTGGAGCCGCTCCGTTATTGTTCCTATCTTCAAAGGCGGCTCGCGCTCGGAATGCGGCAACCTAAAAGGAATCCGTCGGTTCTCCATCGCCTCCAAATTACTCGCCTCCATAATTCTTCACAGACTGACTGGCGATCGTGAAAGCCAGATTCGTGAGGAGCAAGCCGGGTTTCGTCGAGGTCGTGGCTGCATCGACCACATCTTCACCTTACGTCAGTTGTTGGAGCACCGTCACATATATTGGCGGCTCACCCTAGTCGTGTTCCTCGACATCAAAGGTGCCTTCGATTCAGTTGATCGATGTGCCCTTTGGAATTGTTTACTCAGGAAAGGTGTGCCCGAGAAATATGCAAATATTATCCAAGCATTATATGCGCGTAGCACGGCCAGAGTGAGGGCTTACGGCAAGCTGTCGCCACCCTTCAATATCTCCAGTGGTGTGAGACAAGGATGCCCGCTGTCACCTTTCCTCTTCAACTTCGCTATTGACGAAGTCATGGCGATTGCATTTACAGGACATGACTTGGAAGGTGTGGAGCTACTCCCAGGAGAACGACTTCTTAACTTGGAGTATGCAGACCACATTGCCCTCATCTGTGACAGCTCCCAGACGTGCCAAGCCGTGCTGACAGATTAGCACTGGCTGTCAGCCGCTTCGGGCTTTGATTTGCACCATCGAAGTGCAAAGCGTTCCTCCAAGATTGGCAGAGATCGCCTCCTGCGCTGACCCTTGGAGGGGATCACCTAGAAGTCGTTCAGAAATTCAATTACCTGGGAAGTTGTATCAGCGCCCTTGGGATCGAAGACGAGGTCACGAACTTTATATATAAAGCTCGAAGTGCTTTTGCTAACCTTCGGCACCTATAGCGGCGGCGCGACATCACTCTCGCCCTGAAGGGTGGAGTGTACAATGCAGCGGTACGTTCGACCCTATTGTACGGTTGCGAAACCTGGCCCCTAAGATCGGCGGACATGATGAGGCTAGTTAGGTTCGACCATCGGTGCCTTCGCAGTTTGGCTCACATCTGGTGAGAACACCGCGTGAGTAACGAGGGTGCTCGACGCATTGTTTACGGACAAGGAAAAGGATATGAACTGCTCAGCACCGTTATTTCCCCCACCAGGCTTCGATGGCTCGGCCACGTGTTACGCATGCCAGCCCACCGACTCCCGCGACATGTATTGTTTGCGCGCGGGGGGTGTGGATGGAAGAAGAGGAGGGGTGGCCAAGCGATGACTTGGTCCGGAGGAATGAAGGCCCTCACTTCTGAGCTGGCCTCCGCTGGAGCGTCTCGGCTCCCTGGTTGGGGTCCAAAGGACGATGAACACGTTTGGTTGGACACACTTGCTGATATGGCTAGGAGCCGACATCAGTGGCGTTCATGCTGGGAGTTTCTTTGTCCCACCCCATCCCTCTTAGCCTCCCCCTCCAACCACGATCTCGTTATTTAGCCTTATATAATCTTGCATAATATTTTTTTCTTTTTGGGTGCACAGCAGCCGGCTGGTAGCTTACCGGAACGATGCCTATCCGATGCTGGTAGCTCAGCTGGCATGCAACTGTTGTTTATTTTTCCTTTGTGTATTGTATTATAGATATATGTGTATGTATTTCCTTCATGTATTGCAGCACAATAGCGGAGGTGTTTTTCCCACCTCTAGCCGACGTGTATAATGATATATATATATATATATATATATATATATATATATATATATGGCTTTCTGTGAAGATACGTCGCAGCTAGACGCAGGCAGACAGCTACCACACAGCTAAATTAGCGCTAGACATTAGTTTCGTCCTACTGGGACTCCTCAGTAGCGCACATCCGCCGAATCCTGCCGCATTCGAACCCACGGACTTTACCCATACGAGCCAGCGACTTATGCTATTGAGCCATGGGTTACGGCAGGATTTGGCAGATAGGCGTTACTGACGAGTCCCAATGGGACGAAACGGTCGTCTAGCACTTTCCTGGATGTGTGGTGGCTATCTACCTGAGTCTAGCTGCGACGAATCTTCATAAAAACCGAATAAACCCGCCTATTATTCACTAGGAACGCGATGTTTTAACAACACCTCTGACACAGATTTCGTCGCGGTGCTTAACGAGTGGTAGCATCCCCGACGTCTGGAAAGCAATCAGAATAACACCAATGCCTAAAAAATGGATCTCGGAAATGTCGGCCAATTGTGCACGTCCGTGCTGCTAAAGGTACTGCAAAAACTACTGATCCTCCGCATTTGCAGAGTAAATCGTACTTACGATGTCAAACAGTTTGACTATAAACCAGGTCGCTGTACACTAGATGCCATTAAATTGCGTTAGCGCTAGATAAAAGATGCAAGACCGTACGACTCCTATTTCCTAATTCCACTAATGCTTTTGGAAGCATCGACAGATCACTACTGCTCAACAGTCTGTCCGAAAATGGCGTCCCTCCATGTGTGTAGTGTGGTGCGTGATTACCTCACAAATCGCGCCCGCTTCATGCAGCTGTGCGTCAAAAAGTCTTCTGAACCCTCGACCAATTGTGGTGCTTTACAGGGGAACCGTCCTATCCCCTTTCTATCCACCGCCTACGTTGAAAGTTACCCTATTCCATCAAACATCATAGGCTGTAAATATGCTGATGACGTCGTCTTGGGTTGCGCAACCCCATTCATCGAGGACTCTTCGAAACCCCAATGAGGCCTAAACCAATTAGTGACGGTCCAGCTCCCGGTCCCTCTCCCTCAACCCCTCCAAGTGTTAAGGTTCAGTTTGCTACATCCCAACAGACTGTAGTCCTTCGTACATATCTCTCCTCCGGTGATCATAGATGACCAAAGCATCCCTCGCACATATACCATTAGATATATCGGAGTTTTTATCTCACAATTTAACATGATCTACACGTATTTGAAAAAGTTAAAAATTCTAGACGGTTCTCTTTTTGGGCCCTCAGACTTAAAATGCTTTCCGTTTGCCGTGCTTTAATTCTACGGTTTGTGACCGAATGTATGCACTCTCAATGATCATACTGTTCCCCGGTTATTTCCCCAGGGTTTCTTCAAAATGATTATGTCCTTCCTGTCTGTTCGCTAAACTTTATTTCTCGTTGCTCTGGTTTAGGGAAAGAAACGCTTATAGATTTCAGTGTTAACAAACATTCCGATGCATGCATCAACTTTTCATTCAAGATTTTAAATGACTCCACACACCCTTTACACGCTATTCTAGACAGCACTATATCCACGTTGTACACACAGTCAAAATCTAACCTTTTATATTCTCGTACCTCATCGTATCGAAACTCGATCTTACCTTGGTTATCCCACTTACTAATCGACCCAACGGGATTGAAACACCGCTTTCATGACCGCATGGTTGAATGAAGGTGCAAATTTTCGTGTTCTGCTACCAATTATTATTTCCCAGTTATGCTTTGTTGTATGATAAGCCGCAGTGTTGGTGTGAATATGTACCGATATGAGTGGATAAAGCTTAATTGGACTTGTATTAAAATTGGTTTCATGTTAGATTGACCATCGCATGGATGCGGAATGATCGCTTTAGAACGCCGCATAAAGCGGGGTGGATAGGTGAATATAGGACCGTATTCGCGTCGTGGCTGCGCAGTGTTTTCGGGTGGGCAATACCCAATTTCCATCTACTTTGAATACGGTCCCAGCGATCGCAGTGACTAAGGTTCATTTCAATGTGAATCACAGTCCATTAAATTGAAGTTGCGTGTCGCAATCCAATCACACAACGTGTAATCCAAACTTGACCCTCCAATTAGTCATCTACCGTTGTGACAAAAAGCATTGCCCATCGTGACCCGGTAGCCAAAGGGGTAGTAGTGTTGGCTGCTATTCCAATGGTCGTGGGTTCAAATCCTGCTGTCCCCACCTGATGAGATGAAATTACATCGAAACGCGTCGTGGCTGTGCAGTGTTTTCGGGTGGGCAATACCCAATTTCCATCTACATAGGACCGTATTCGTTTTCCAACTTTTGTCTCTCCCCCCTAAATCCATACTTGACCCTCTCTCAATACCCAACCCTGCCTGATGAGTCCCCTAGTCATACATCTACCTCGTAGGTTATACCCCGTGTAGTTCAGTGCGTCGGCAGAAAGTGCTTAAGATTGCATGCGGGAATGTAAGCATACCCATGCAGGGAACCACAAGTAAACATACACTAAGGGACATCACAATGGTCATCTTGGGACTTGATCGTTGTGGCATTTATATAGTGGCACTCACAGAGGTGCGAAGGTAATGTTGGCTTCCCTTATGGAATCGGAAGCAACTACTTCGCGATAGTTCTGCCATATCCGACCAAAGATGACATTACACCTCTGATGTCGTAAATCTGTAACATTGTAAGGACTATAGAGAGCAGTCCTGCTCCTGGTGGCCCAATGCGGTAGTTCCATAAAGACGCGAGATGACCTGATTGATCGATGGCCGTAGCGAACTTCAACCATACACAGCCGATTTTGCTGAATGTCACATGATTACTTGCCAGTGAAAGCAATTCGATTAGCTTTCACGTTAAATCACTATACACATGTGTCAACTGGTGTTTGATGGATCAATAACAGGCAATGGAGGAAGGTTAAGGGGGAAAATTATTGCCAATCGTGGCTGCAGTTCGATGAGGTCGGTATTGCACGCCACGAACGTGAATGAAATGTGGTCTCGAAATAATGACGGCCGTAAAAGTACAAAATAAGGGGGAATAACGGTGACGAAATGCAAAGTAAAAAATGCGCGACGACAGCACAATGTCACATGGTAACACAAAAGTTGGTCGCATAAAACCATGGAACTTACCGTCGCCAGAAGTAAACGAAGGAAACGGGTGGTTCGAACCTCTATGGAAAAATTGCGATGATGCGTTCGGGCGCTGCATTCCGACGGTCGCAACTACACCGGGACAAACGCTGGTGCCGAAAACATGTAAATGTGCGCTCTCCAATGCAGCAGCCGCAGTTGCAACACAAGTAGCGTTGGAGCACGGCAGCATAAGATGGTCAGGGTTGGAGCAGATACGTTCCTGTTGCAATTTGGCGAGAAAATCGCGTCCAGCAGTCAGTTCACAGTTGGAGTGAGCGAAGGCACAGAAGGGACCGCGAGGGCAGTATCCAGAATTGATCACATCATTGCATTTAGTAGATTTGTAGATCTATCACAATAGTAAGCAGAAAATTGGTGGACTTAGTGGATGTATTAAAAAACGAGCTGCAAGTGAGAGGAAACAAACAGAAAGATCAGTAAGTAACAATGCAGATGATCCGTGCTGTAATCAAAAGCACAAACCATGATGCCACGCGGTTGGAGTTGAACACACAACATCCAACGGAGGAGCAGCAACATTTGCATCCTTTCAGCCGATATCAAAAGTACACCAGAATGGTGAGTCAAGGGTTGCTTCGGCAACATCGTCTCCATGTCGGTCCAGTCATAAGTTTTGACTCTACATACTATCATGGGCTGGCTTGCCGAACAACCTCCTCGTGGTGCCAGCTGGGTGGTTCGAGATTTTCCCGTTCCAGCAAATGGTTCGGCGGCAGTGTTCCAGGACGTGGTGGGTTTTCGCCTGGCAAGCGTTCTCCCTATAAAAAGCCACATATGTCCGTTTAACAACACTGTGACGTGGCGGACGTGACTCGCCACTAAATAAAGTCACTGCCCCTTGCTTCATCCTGGCGAAGCATTGTATTCCAGCAAGTTGATGCTGTAATTTCGGGGAGCATTGGGCCCCTGTTTGGCAAAGGAACAAACGAAAGGCGTATGAACTGATCAATCAGTCACCGGCTCCCAATGGGCGCGATTCCCTGAATTCGCTCCGTTGCCTTGCCGACAGGCTATTCAGCCAAAGACTCGGGGTGGTGTCCCCTAAGTCAACACCCTACTTCGGCTTGGGCAACCGGGTAGTATTTCGCCCTCTGACGAAACCGTGGACATTGTTGTGTTTTCTTTTACTATTTCTGTACCTTGTTTTGAGTTCCATGGTTTCCGATGGTGCAATGTCTTTTCATAGACTGTTGCAAATATATAAATATATATATACATACTATCATGTGGTAAGTTAAAGTGGAACTATTAGGCTAAATGAATAGATGTCGAGATAAAGTGGGGATCCAAGCCCACAGAAGCGTCCACAAGGTCAGGAACATCTGCGTTCAGGAAGATTATTTCGTATGATTTAGGCAATAGATTGGTAGCGTTATAGCAAAAGCATACTAGCGCCCGACGAAATTACTGTAACTCGAAAGTCGCTCTTTATGAACCTGTGTTTTCCACCTTATGGAGAATTGAACGCTGTCTGTGGGCAGATGTATGGTGATTTGGGCCAGTATCATTCAATGGACCGTTACGCGGTTGCAAAGCAGGTCGAGCATGTTGCGTCCCTAAAGCCGAACACAAAGTAACATTAAAGAAAATGCTAAGGAAAACGCAAACACTGCCTACACAGGTCGATGGTGCCTAATCGTTAAAAAGACACAACAACTGAAAATGGGACGAGGGCATGGTTTAATCACTTGATTTTCGTCCAGATCGTCAGTAACCGAACTATGTCGGCAGCAAACGATGCCTTATCAAGCGCAGTGAATGGTATTGCAGCGCGGGGCTCATCACATACCAACTCGAACCCCACGATGTCTCAAGAGCATAGCGAGTAGTATGTGCGATCAAGAACCAAGATAGTTCACTGAATTGAGCCCTACGAAATACACCTAGAAGGGATCAAGTATCCATAATGATCGGTTGGTAAACTTGGTGGATCACTTGGTCGTACGAAGGTTGGGTTATGAGAGAAACGTTGCCCTTCGAACATGCTAATTAAATGTCGTTAAATGCTTCTCTCGCCATTGAAGTAATGAAGTTCTCACGAATTGATTGCGTGCAATTCACCCTCAAACAACCGGTTGTGTAAAATCACTCAAGTGCGGGGCATGAATGAGAAAAAGGTTTACGTGTTTTCGCAGTATGGTGTGCATAAGATTGCTCCAAACACACTAAACTAATCGTAAAACAGCCGCCAGAAAATATAGACTATCACTGATAGCTCACTGTGAGCACATCTACCAAGTGATAGAGCGTAGTATAAGCTACGAATCGCCAGTGGCCGGAAGGACAAGACGTCTGCTTTGCAACCCATAGATTCGAGCTTGCGTAGGAGACCGGGCGACCCTCGCCGTTTTCTCAGCCCACGCACGACTGGTGGTGGTCGCGTGGTAACGATGCCTGGTGCTTGCCCTGCCTGTACGGGCTAACCAGGCGTATCCGATAGCGGCTGTGTACAAATGTGAGCACGATTATCACAGGAGAAAGCAGTGCTTTGTTCTGAAGAGCGAAAGTGAGCACTGACAGCCGAATAAACAAGTCGAAAAGGACGATATAATTAGAAGCGCAAAGCACACACAGAAAACAGGCCAGGTGAAGTCTGCAGGTTGCACGCGAGTTGTGTGGAAGTGCTGACAAGTGAGGCATCTTCCAAGCTGAAAGGGACAATTACAGTGAAACGACGTGAAAAATATACCAAAGATACAATTGTTTGCAAGATAATGCTCGGGTGCACAGGTCTAATGTTGTCACTGCCAAAGTGGACACCCTGGGTTTACTTGTTGATCCGCCGCGGCCACCCACTCGCTCGGCATGACCTCTTCGAACTATTATCGGTCCATGAACTTGAATAAATACAAGAAGGATAAATAATAATAAAAAACTCGCCAGCTGTACGCGGTAACGGCGCTTCGCTGTCACGCGACCAGCACCAGCCGCGCGTGTACTGAGTATACCGCGAGGACACCCACCCCTACGCAGATTCGAACCGGTGACCATATGGTTGCAAACCAGGCGCGCAGGCCACTCGGCCACCGATCGGCCGACATTTGAAAAGACATTTTTGACGTCCAGCATGCTGCTGACAGCTGACTTGAGACCTAGTCAAAGGATCTTTGGCTGAACGGTCTACAAAAACTGAAAGTATACTGTACCACATGCATCAGTGTTATAGGTGTGTATGATAAATAAATGCATTATTTCATAACTTTTGTGCTCTTTTGCTGGTCAAACTCAGAAACTTCTGATCACCTGGTACAAAAAATGTGTGGGACTGATTGAACGGCGATGATCTATGTAGCCCAGAAAGTATGTGAGGGGATAGCAGGACTTTGCTTGGGTCGCTGTACCTACGAGGCACGTTGAATGGTTGGTAAATGTCGGCAAATTGTAGCGAATGTTGACCGCAAGTTACCCCCCTAAAAAACCTCGCACACCACCATACAATTCTTGGGCGTGGCAGTACATGACCGTTGCACTGGGGGGGGGGGGGAGGGGTTACCAGCAGGGCTAAATCGAGACCAACGGGAATCAAATCAGCACCCCCCCCAAGCATCCATCAAGTGGCGGTCAACACTGCCACTGCTGAGTTAGAATGAATTTAGTGCATACCCGGGACAAATGGCCAAGAGTAGCGCGGTGAGCTCGTTCATCGACATCAGAAAGATTGCACTGATCTGATAATCAAACAAATGCAAACCCAGTAAAACATCATGGGTAGCTGGCGAAAAGAATCATGTATGTACGCACGGTAGGGAGGTGGTTGACATCCACGTGAAACGCCAGGACAGACTCGTTCCAGCCAGAAATACCTAGTACCCGGTAGGGAAAATGTGCACTATACCTTATTCCGCATTTATCGTCATGTGATGGATGAGCACAAGAATGGGAGCACACCAACACTGTTCAATGCACATGCGTAGTTGAAACTGGTGGCACTCGTTCCCGGATTTCCTGGTCATTTTGACTGTGACCCGTCACAGAGCGCCTGCGTCAGACGAACTGTGGTTACGTTGCGTTGTTCTATGTACAGCCCCATCCCCAAATGTCACAAATCAAGTGTAAACAAAGGGATAAGATTGGGTGTGTGTGGATGAGAGTCACGAATGATGCAGATCCGCACCAATCCCATAAACAAGCACATCACTGACGCAAACATTGAGAAACAGTCGTCGCAGAGGAAAACAGTGCGTGGCTGTGCCGTAACGAGTTCCTGATGGAACCACTTTAATAAGGTTACAAGAAGAGTGCAACCCCCAGTGTAACCAAACAGATGAGAGACTTGGGGCAGACATCCTAGATGCTCGGATGAGCAAGTACCTTGTAAACATTGCAGAAGAGCGTAACGACCTGATAGATCGCTTGAAAAAAGGGATTAAATACATCATCATCATCATAATCATCACTACACGTTAGCTAAAGGTGAGAAACAGAGAAGTGTAATGTCGCTGCGTCATAGACCTCACCAGCAGGCCTACGCGGTGCTCGAAAAACGATCGGTCTGAAAACAATGTGCTGACTCAGTTGCCGAGTAGCACAATTCACTAATGGTATAAACCTTTGTTGGGCCAACCAAGTAAATGCATGGCTGCTGCATAGTTCATAGAGAACCAGGGTAGTAAACGGGATAACAGGGTCAGTAGGCAAGGGTCATTACAGCCAAAAGTTGGAATGTTGCCTCAATTGAGCAATCAGGGAGGGAATATCCGAACGGACAACCGTACCTTGATGAGAGCGGTGGGGACCCATGCGTCAGTGCTTGTCGGATTGGTGATATGTGACTTTTGTATTCCGACGCAACTGGACGTAATTTTGAGGTGTGACCAGCAAGTACATCTAACTGTTTCGGTAGGCAGTTACTTATCCTGGCTGTGGTATGGTGAACACTGTCAGCATCCGTATCAAGCGCATACAGGCCTGACACCAATGGGAGATAAAGGTTAGTGGAACAATGCAGGTTGATATGCAAGCGTGAAGATCAACTGCAACGACGAAGAACCATGGATAATTCGCCATTTGTGATATAGGTATCATGGGGATTTGATTTGGCTGTGGCGGTTGTCCGCTTATGATTATTTATGTGTTCGTGTAAAAAGGAACACTAAACGGCATCAGGTGTTGCCCGTCCGAAAACACCAAGCCAAGCGCAAAGGAGCATTACCTTGGGGCTTACAAAACCCGCAGGGTACTGAATGTGTAAGAAATGAGAACAATTCACTACACCCGGATGCATTCCCCACGCGCGCTAGCCTGACAATCACGATGGCCGAACCAATCCGAAACGCATACACCGGCTAGTAAATCGATCCAAAGACGCGGCTCCAGAGCACACGTAAC